AATTTTGAAGTCAACGTGTGTTAAGTGGAGGGTTGGCTCGCTTCCGCTGGGGCTTGGTGTCTTCTTTTTCCTCTGTTTCCCGCTCTTCGTCGGAACTGGGGTATTCGGTAATAGGATCGTGAGGAAGTTCGGCAGCTTTCTTCATACCTTGTGGAGTGTCATCATTCTGACTATTCGCAGGTGATACTTTGGCCGACGTGGTTCGTGGAACAGGTGGGACGGGAGATGACGTATTGGTTGCATTGGAACTGGGAATGTTTGCGAATAATATTGGAGGTCCAGTATTGAGGATTTGGAAAGTGAGGGCACGGGGGATTTATAACGGGAAGCTACTGTAGGAGACTTACCACCGTTCTCTCTGGTGCTTTTCCAGAAGAGTTCCCAAGAAGGCTCAAAGTTCATGCCGGGGGGTAGTGCAAACCATGGGGAAGGGCCAGTGTGGCAGCTTGAAGGCGAACTGGTGGAGTAGAGGTGGGGGCGGGGGATGGTGTGCGTGCGTAGTGGCTTGTAATAATGTTGCGACGGGCACCAGTGATGGCCCGCATGCGACCGAAGTCCGATGCATCCAAGGTTGTTCGGTGAAATCAACGGACGTAAGACGTGAAGCCGGGAGTTGACCACGAGGCCAAATAGAGTACACATGGCCCTTGTCGTCCTTGAGGAATTCGGATACAGTGCGGTATTCGCCTTGATCGATCCAAGATCCGTCACAAGGTGAGTCATGATGTCGGAGTGGGTGAGCAGCTCATCTCCAGGTGTCATGGTGCACTACGCTAAAGCTAGTGTAAAGATCTTTCGAGTGTTTTGAGTTTGAGAGAATGAAAGTTATGAGAGAGATTAGAAAGCTATGAAAACTAATCAACGAGAGAGATCATCATCAAAGGATCGTAGATCTGGCTTCCCGCGGGAGACTATAAAGTGTGATAGAGTAGGTTGGGTAGTAATCCTACGTCTCTCCACGATCCTAAAACGGAACGCGTGGAAGGTTTGTCTAGCTGAATCTAGTAGCGTGGAAGTACTCCACGCTGGCTAAATATCTAGCATCTTCTCTCTTTTGCAAAACCTAAACCCTAAATATAAGCCACATGATTCATTCGATTCTATTCACCATTATCCTGTATTAGTAGACAAGTTAAACTAGTACTGGAAACGGAGACGACCCAGGGGGCATATGAATTTATACTAAAGCCGCAGAGCTGGATGGCACAGCACGTTCCAATCGAAAGGATCTTTTGACAACCAAGCTCTTCCGGAAAATCCATGATGGCATGACAACTGGTAGGAATCGGAAGTACAATGTAGCAGGGGGCTTGGAGTAATAAGGAGGTTATCCGGAAGCGGTTGCAAATGCAGATCGATACTCCCGCCATGGGTACATGAAGAGTGATGTTGCGCTGGATTCTCATCACTTGCAAATACAGAAGATCATAGTTTTCCATTGATTGGACTGCTTGGTTCCTTCAAGAAAGAGAGTTGTCGTGTCAACTTCACATTGCCTTGTCCTAACCGGTAGCAGCTGAAAGAAGATTTGTATCCAACATCACGATGAAGAAGGTATCCTCTTCCGTGCTATGTGTTCTTCTTGTACTTGGCAGTATGGTACAAGCATCAGTCTCCTTGAAAGCAAAGTCTGAGTATTTGGTCAAGGGATTGGGAGACGTCACTCCTGCCTACAACGAGTTTGATGGAGAAATGTATGCTGGCATGATACCCATTCACAATGACACTGACAAGAATACGAATCAACGAGAGGGTGAAATCATGTTTTGGCTGTTTGCTCCTCGCAAGCCTCTCGTCCCCAACACTCTTGTGAAGTGGCTCAATGGAGGGCCGGGATGTTCTTCCTTTCAATGTGGAAACCTCTTTGAAACGGGGCCTGTAACGGTACCTCTAAACCCGGCCGGTTGGTGTTGTGCCACAGAGGACGAACCACTTCAAGTCAATGAATATGCCTGGACCTCCCGGACGTACATGCTCTTTGTCGAGCAACCCGTTGGTGTCGGCTTTTCCTGGGGACCCATGCCCCAAACTGAAGACGACGTCGCCGACGATATGGTCGGATGGTTGCACAATTTCTTTACCATCTTTGAAGAACTACAGACGTTCGACTTTTACATTGTTGGAGAAAGCTATGCCGGCATGTATGCACCCGCCATTGCGCGAGGGATCCATCACGCCAATCGTCGAAATGATAATGTTGAAAACGACCACGGCAGAACCATCAATCTAAAAGGTATTGGGCTTGGCAATGGCTGGATTGATGTCGAAATTCAAGGTTCTGCCGTCATCCATTATGCATGGTGGCATGGAATGATTGACCAGCGGCAGCGGGATGCATTCATGCAGGAGTGGAATACTTGCTTGTACAGTTCGCCTGTCAATCCTCAACACAAAGAGGAAGACAACCACCTGATCGACAAGCCATACCACGCATTCACGACACCCGAAGAGTGCGGTATTGAAGCTGCTATTCTCAAAGCTGCCGGGCAGGACATCTGGAAGGGCAAATTAGAACCCAACACTTATGATGTCACAACCTGGGATGCATATCCAGTCATTCAGGGAGCCAACACAACAACCTTTCAGCAATTCTACAACAATCCGGCCGTTCAAAAAGCCCTCAATGCTCCTGTAGGTGTCTTTTGGGAGGGATGCGTTCCAGGGGCGGGAAGGCGAAGACGCTTGGAGCACATCGGGCGACGACGACGTTTGCAAGGCGAACCTGGAAGCATCATGTTGGACAATGATCGCCCTCTGTCCGTATTGCCTTATATAGCAGAATTATTGGATGATACTGACATTCGTGTCTTGGTGTACAATGCTGATATGGATATGAGTGTGTGTGCACAAGGATCGGAGAATTCCCTGACCGCCATGCAGTGGAGTGGTGCCGAGGACTGGGCCACACAGGAACGAGGATTGTGGACGACCGACACGCAGGTGGACAAGGTAGCGGGATATGCCAAAGAAGTCAAGGGACTGACCTTTGTGGTGGTTAGAAACAGTGGGCACATGGTACCATACAATCAACCTTTGAATGGGTTGGACTTGCTGACGAGGTTCCTTCGAAATGAATCTTTTGTCGACCATGCGTTGCCCTTCTACACGGCGGATGAACTTTTAGCTGCAGAAACGAAAACAAAATCCGCAAGAGAATCTTTTGTCACATGGCGAGACATCCTGGTGTATGCCGTCCTCTTGGTGGCTGGTTTTGGGGTTGGCTATCTTGCGTCAAACCAGTCTCGTCGGGACGGGTATGAATCGGTAAAGCATTGAAGTCCATTCCCACACGGCACTTGACGCCGATCACATCAAACCTCATCAATTACATGTAGTAGATCTTCATGACTTGCATCTGCATACAAAGATAGTAAAAACTACAATGTACTCGTTTATCCTTACACGTTGCTACTCGATAGGATACGGTCGAAGACGCTCGGGACTTGCATCAAGTAGTTGGCAGTTGAGACCCCGCACAACGAGAGCCATTTCGCCCCAAGCGTAACTCTCCTGTGCTCCAGCTCTGCCAGGTCGAGGCGATGAGCGGTCCCAATGCTTCTACAGTTAGCAGTTAGAGGTCTACAAGAAGGGCTCGTGTCCCCCCGAGTGCGTCTCGAATACGTTGCACTGTCCCTTTCATCCTCGTTTTGTGATTGAAAGCAATTTTAAACGACCACTCACCGGAGCACACTTCGTTCTGCAAAAAAGAGTTCAAGCTGAATAACGCATGTTGAACTTCGACAGGAAATGGCACAAGCCAAAGTTACTCACCTGTTTTGTCTTGAAGGCATGTGTTGCAACTGACGTAGATGGAAGATTCGAATGATTGCAAAAGCCAAACCAGAACTAATGGCAGTGTACGACATCTGTTTGGAACTGCCTTGCTTGGTCTCCCAAGCGGGGTATGGAATGAAGGGGCAATGAGAAATGTTAGTTCAAACTGAATGAAAGAAGACTGTCGAAAGGGAAGGGAACAGCACAAATTGACGTACCTGTTTTGTCCATGGATAGAGTCTCCCAAGGAGGGTATGCAATGAAGAGGCCATGAGAAATGTTAGAGCAACCTGAATGAAAGTATAATGTCGAAGGGCTATGGCACAACACAAATTGACTTACCTGTTTTGTCTTTGTCCCCCATAGAGGAGGGGGCCGGCCTCTCTTAGTGTGAATCAAGGGGGCAATCAACAGGTACAACACAACACAACACAACACAACACAGCACAAACATCACATCTCTGTATTTTTGGGGGTTTTGGTGACCAGGAGGTCTTTTTTTGTTTTTTGTTTTGTTTTTGTGGTATAGGATGATTTCAAACAGCACAGCGATTGCAAACAGGTTGGCACTGACACAAACATCACATCTCTGTATTTTTTTGGGTTTTGGTGACCAGGTGGTCTTTTTGTTTTTTGTTTTGTTTTTGTGGTATATGATGATTTCAAACAAGAGGAACATGCAACATAGAACATGCAACATAGAACATGCAACAAAGAAGGAATCCGAACTTGTGTGTGAATTGACTGACTGACTGACCCTAGCAGAGTTCCTCCATTTTCACGGTTGCCCCTTCGGTTGCCCCTTCGGTTGTCCTTTCAACAGATGTGATGCGAAACATCGTATTGGGACGAAAGAGTACCTCTGCTTCTGCTTGACTCGGTCCGAAAGCATGCTTGGAGACATCTTGACCTGTCTTGCTGGTAATCTCAAAGAGGACACCACCACTTCCCCACTTGAAGCCTTTTCCAACTTGCTCGTCTGTTGATGTGCTAAGAAACCCTGGGTCGGCAAAGATAGCCCCTGGTTGCAATTGATAGAGCAGTTCACGACGCCAGCTGGAGCCACGGTAGACCGTCCCTTGATGGACTGGGAGACTCTCGTCCTTGGACAATGCTCGTAGCAGGCGTTGTATGTGAGTTTCGACAGTGTTTCTTTCGGGGAGACTGCCTCATTTCTCGAAGGCAAGACCAGAATAGTCGGGAGCAACCTTCTTCAGGCTTTCCCCAGACTTCCAAGTGGCACGGACCCAGCGATCGTCCACCTTAAGGCAGTCCACACAGCCATCAATGGTCACATTCCGCAAAACTTTATTCATACGTTGATATCCAAGCGCCGTATAATGTACTACAGCTGCGATGTCATGATCTGACAAACGTTTGCTTTTCTGCAGGCTCTCCATGAACTCTTTGTGCACAGATTTCCATTGCAATTGGCGAATACGCTTTGCCAGTTCTTGGTGCAAGGCTGTCTTTGGGATGCGAGGAGGAGGCATGTCATCAACGACTTGAGCAGGTTGTTGTTGTGGAACGGCAGTGGCAGTATCAGCGGTGTCATCTTCTGTCAGTTGGGCGACAGGAGTTGGTTGTTGTTGGCTGTTGCATGGGAGGAAGGAGGGATCTTGGTTGAGGTGTTTATAGCAGTAGCGGCCCATCTTGATGCAGCGTTTGCAGTACCTGCCAGTGCGAGTTTTCGCGAACACACGCAAGGGCAAGGTTGGTGGGTTCTCGACCCGTCGCCGCCGCGAACGGGCCATTGAGCGAGTAACAACACCACCATGGTCAAGAGATGGAGTAGAAGAGCATGACTGTGTCATGGATCGAGTAGAATTTCGAGTAGTAGAGGTCATTGTCATTGTGATCGTGATAATAGCAAAGATTTCAGTAAAGATTTCAGTAGCAATTTGTTCACAAGTTTTCAGATTCAAAGTAATGAGCTCAGAGTGGGGGCACTCGTCGCATCTTGTTCAACGAAGAGAAACGTCCACGCTGCCATGTTGTTGAAATATGTCAAGATTTCGACAGTCAGATTTCGACATCTTGCTACCGTACCGGTAAGATAACAAGTTCCAACAGAGAAGGTGTGCCGAAAAGATACTCGGAGGCACGGCTGACCGGATACAGTACTGTACCTGGTACCGGTGTCCGTTCGAAGAAGCCAATGATCTATGATTTGACGCGACTAACCTCCCTCCAAGGACTCCTGGCATAAGCCTTAACCCTGATGAATGATTCAATCGTTTGGTATCTTCAACTCTGGCGTCAGTCAAATAGAACGCTTCAAGACCGAAGAAAGATTAAATTTGTTGGCTGGGGTATGAGCCGTGCAAACCTTCCTCATTCATTTCTTCGAATTTGTTGGCTGTGGGTGGTACGGATCCTCGCCTTCAATAGATAGCTAGTGTGAGATACCCAACAACTAGACTAGACTACTGTATTGAGATAAAGAGATGTCGAGTCGGATACGAGCAGGGCTGTTCTTGTTTCTGGCATTTTGCCTGGTCCAAGCCACGGAATCCTTTACGCTACCCTTTTCCCCAAGACAAGCTCCTTCTTTTGTCGGCGTTCCATGCAATAAGTTGGACACCAACGGTCGCCTTATTGAAAGGCGATCCAATGGCCATGGAATCAACCTGATCTTGGCCAGCAGTGCCAGCAACAAGGAGATCGTATCTGTGGAGGCAGAAGACATTTTCCTCCAAAACTGTGACAGTGATGGTCTCATGACCAAGAAAATGGTTCAAAACTTGGACTTTGTGGCAGAGATGATGGTAAGGATCGACAGGCATACAGAATGGATCCTGAAACTTGAAATGTACATCCTGTTGGTTTGATTATATTATGGCCAAGGAAGATCAAATTTGCTCTAGAATTACTCCACGACAATGCAGGAAAACTCTATCCAAAACACGAGGCCTATTTGATTGATGTTGCTTGCTTGTATTGCTTGTTTGTATTGCTTGTATTGCTATTCTGTTGCTGAGAGCCCCATTTCGTAATTTTTGCCCGATGTTCCAACTTGAAGGGTATTTTGGCGAATCCTCAACTCACGTTCTTATCATTAATTTTGCTGGCTCAACTACCGTATAGAAAGAAGGAGACCTGATTCAGGCTGAACTGGATCAGTTGTGGGAGGGTGCCCCCAAATTCCCCGATAGCGACGAAGAACGCATAGATGTTGACTCGTTTGTGCAGATTTATCGGGATATCGACGATCTGTTTGAAGATGACGAGGAAGAAAAAGAAGAAAAATCCACAGTCAGTTTGGAATTGCAAGATGACAGCAACAACGATGACGATGATGAGTTGAAAAACATTTTCCAATCCATTGCAACTGACAAAGGTGTCTTGTCCAAACAAGCCTTGTTGAGATGGAAAGAAGTGAAAAGTCTACTAGACGATGGCTTGTTTGATGAGGAGGAATTTGATGGAATTTGGAAAAGTCTTCCTAAAGCTGACCACGGCATAGGAATAGCCGGCTTTCTGAAATTCAATAAAGAATTGGACAATTTGTTTGAGTTTGACGACGAGGAAGTCGAGGGAGGAGAAGAAGAATCTGCCGAGGCCGAGGTGACAGCTCAAGTGGACACGACGACAATCATTGCCGCAGAAGAACTAGCCATGATAGAGGACGAAGACCTTAGCCCAGCAGAACTGTTCAATGCCTTGGCGGATTCTGGTGGTCTAGTAGGCAAGGACGAGTTGAAACGCTGGGGGGAGCTGCAAGAAATGCTCAAGGAAGAAGATTTGATGCCATTAGAACTGGAGAATATTTATGACTCGATTGCCAAGGCAGACGAGAACAAACTCAACAAGGAAGGCTTTCTTGCCTTGTACAACAAAATCGATTCCTTGTTCGAAGACGAGGAGGGAGATGACGAGCCAGCGGTCGCCGAACCTGCAGCCTCGGGAACAAAGGAGCAGCTCTTGGCAACAGTCGCCAGCTTCAACTCTGATGAAGAACGACTCCCCTGTGGATTGGAGAGTACAGAATTGGAGCAAAAATACGTTTTGGAACTCGTGACAGCCTTGGAATCAGAGTCTAGCAACATGGTCCGAGAGCGCCAAGGAGCAATCGAAATGTCGGATCTTGCGGGTGAATGGGAGCTTCTGTACACAAGTTCAGCGGCCATGGCATACAACAAGGGATTGAGTGGACTTGGTGGCAGCTTTCCCAACGGCAAATTTGGCGGTCTCAAGATGAAGCTGATTGCATCCAAGTTCCTGACGGATGTTGAATACACCGAACGCATCAACGTAACACCTGACACTGCCTCTTTTGACGTAAGTGTCAACGGGAGTTGGGAACTTCGTAGCAGTGTCTCCATCTTCACTGGTGAACCCTCGATTGCGTTGACAGTAGTCCCTGAAAGGGTTACATACGGTCCTACATCGACGAGGGCAGATCATTGGAAGAGTTTGGGTCCCACTAACATGCTTGACGTGAGCTATCTGGACGACAATCTACGGGTGATGAGGGGTAACACCTCCACAGACTCCATCTTAATCTTCAAGCGGACTCAGTAGTAAACAATGAAGCTAATAAGAAAAGGTAATACTTCCATGATAATATGGCTGTATCGTCGCTTTGAGAAACACGAGTTCCATCGAACTCTCTAGTCAGCTCTCCTCGAAATCGTTGAAGGGGCTTGGCAGTACCGCTGCAAGTCTTTGTAGGCTGGTCAACCTTCAGGAGTGCCAGCTATTGATGGAATAGTTAAATTGAATTCGCTATTGTTCTATCTAGAGAGACTTACACAAAACTAAACAAAAGCTGAGCAACGCTGCTCATGGCGAAACCTAATGACAGTGACGTCGTTCGATTTGTGCGGACGACGCCTATTTCTTCCCCCCCTTCTTCTTCTTTCCTTGCATTGCAGGGTTCTTTGCCATACGGAAGAGACTGGGAGTGACTTCCATAATTTCATCAGCAGCCAGATATTCGACGCTGGCATCAAGGGACATCTCCACAGGCGCAACGATACCGGTTGTGATTCCCTTGGTAGCAGACCGCATGTTAGTCAATGCCTTGGTTTTGCAAACGTTCACTTCCAGATCACCGGGACGTTGGTGAATCCCAACACTGTCGTTAATTTCATGTGAAAGCTGTGTGAGACAATTTCAAATCGAGGCATCATTGCCGCAAACACTCTTGCGCGTCTTACATCATTCCCTTGTAGACATCTTCTCCTGGTGAAACAAACATGTTTCCTCTGTTTTGAGCACCTTCGATGCCAAATGAAGTTACAGGCCCATCAGCAAAGGCCAACAGGGATCCCTTGTCGCGTCCATTAATTTCCTCTTGGACTCTGGGACGGTAGGAGTCGAACACACTATCCACAATGGCGGTACCCCTGGTGGCAGTCAGAAGGGATGAACGAAGCCCAAGCATACCACGAGTGGGCACCAGGTATTTGACAACAGACATATTCTCTTCAAGGGACATATCTTGCATCTCTCCTTTGCGGTTATTCAGCAAATCAATCACACCTCCACTGTACTCCTCCGGAACACGTACTTCAACGGATTCCCATGGTTCTTCCGTCTTTCCAGTTTCTTCGTTTACTTTGTTAATGACGGTTGGTGGTCCGACCTCAAGCTCGAAACCTTCACGACGCATGGTTTCAATGAGCACCGTCAAGTGGAGCTGACCGCGTCCTGAGACTTGGTAGCGATCCGCAGATTCAGTTTCTGCCACTTGAAGTGCCACATTGCGGTCAAGCTCCTTGAAGAGACGATCCCGGATCATGCGACTGGTGAGAAACTGGTGGGAAGAAAATCAAAGCAAGGCAGTAGTGAGAAAATGCCGGGACGGACAACGCAAAATGATTTTCAGAAAAATATCAAACCTACTTTTCCTTCTCGGCCAGCAAGAGGGCTCTTGTTGACCCCGATCGTCATTCGAACAGTGGGTTGTTCCACAGCAATAGGAGGAAGTGGTTCGGCCGCGTTGGCTCCACCATTTTCATTGGTAACCAAGGTGTCACCGATTTCAACGTCACCCAAACCACCAAACATGATAATTTCTCCAGCTGAGGCTTCCGTAACTGCCTTCTTACCCAAGTTGTCAAAAACGAAAAGATCATTGAGACGTCCAGTCTTCTTAGGTGTATCAGGGCGAGCCAGAGAAATAGGTTGTCCGGCCTTGATGGATCCATTGGTGATACGGGCAATTCCCAGCTTTCCCTTGAATGGATCATAGTCAATGTTGCTCACAAGAGCCTGAAGAGCGTCCGCTTCAGTGGTCTGCACAGCAGGAGGATCGATGGATTCAATGACAGCATCGAACAATGGTCCCATGTCGGCGGCAAGGTCATCTGGCTCATCACCAGCCTGTCCCAACAATCCTGATGCATAAACCACACGGAAATCCGTTTGCTCATCGGTGGCTCCCAGTTCCACAAACAAGTCAAAGACGTTGTCAACCACATACTCCGGTCTTGCTGCAGGACGATCAATTTTGTTGACCACCACCAGAGCCTTCATTCCCTTTTGCAGTGCCTTGTCCAAAACAAATCGTGTCTGTGGTTTGGGTCCTTCCACACTGTCCACAACGAGCAAAACTCCATCCGCCATGTTCAAGACACGTTCCACTTCACCTCCAAAGTCAGCGTGACCCGGGGTATCCATAATGTTGATTTTGTACCCGTCACGCACCACAGCCAGGTTCTTTGCCAAGATGGTAATTCCACGTTCTCTTTCTTGATCCTCGTTGTCCATCACACGTTCCCCAGCTTCTTCGGCTTTGGATTCATCACGAAACACCCCTGATTGTTTGATGAGAGCATCCACCAAAGTTGTCTTTCCGTGATCGACATGGGCCTAAGACATGAAAGACAGCGCAAAAGGGTCAGGAGTCTGGACTTCACAGCAACAACTTCCATCAGAGGAGGAAAGGAATCTTCCAGCAACACTTACAATCACAGCAATATTCCTGCAGGAAACAATACACAAAGGAATGAGGAAGGTTAGGGCCAAGCTATCTTCTGAGGAAAGGGTACCGGTACCAGAAACAAAATAAACAGATGCTTCTTCGTACCTGATTTTGTCAGCATCAACTCCATTGGCGGTAGTGGGTGCCGCCTCCTCCAACACGGCAGACATGGACAAAGAACATCCATTGGTCCTCGGGGCAAAGGCAGTCGAAGGGCAAAAACTAGTAAACGCGCTGCTGGCCGTCAAGAGGCTCAGCAGCAATAACGATCGAAGGTTGCTCATTTTGGTCGGTGATTCTGGTACCTTGATGGTTTTATGAAACCAACTCTGAGGAAAATATGTTCCAGATTCATCGTCAGAAGTTTCGTTTGGTGGTAATTGTTCTGTGTGAGCAAGCCAACGAATTCAACTCGATCCATCCGTCATCTATCTTTGGTGGTTCTCAAGGGTGTTGATGTGGAGGCTGAGCCATGTGCGTTTTCCATTCGTCTGACTGGACTGAGTCGAGTCACTCGTCACTCCATACTTCCGGCAGCCACGTGGTGGAAATTGATCTATGTCTACACACTTGGCCAATCATGGTGCTCGTGGGAGCTCTCTTGTCGAGCCAGCTGCATGGTACCGGTACTGGTACCGGAACGCTACTTGCTAGCTAGCTACCTGGTTGAGAGTGGTCAAGGACAACAATAGACAACAATAACGAGGCCACAGTAGAGCTCCATGCGGCACTCTAATAGCATGGCAAGCAATTGCCGTTTGGACGGCCTCCCCTGCAGATTATTTGAGTCAGTCTTCAGAATATCACCATGATACCTCTTCTTGCTAAAGAAACCATACCCCAGAAGCCTCTGCAGCAACAAGTGCCTCCCAGGAACATGGAACATACCTTTACCACGGTGAACCGAATGGTGAAACTCTTCTTGAAGAAAATCGGATGCGCTTCTGGTTCTAGCTGCTACGGTACGGTAAAGGTATCTGCTCCCCATGAAACTGGGAATACAACCGTGTACATGGAGTACCAGGCTCTACGTGTTACCCTGTCTTTCCTTATGTTTGTGGGTGTTTCTACCTTTCTCGACCTTCCAACCTGCTCGCTCACTGGAACATCGATACTGGTATAAACGAAGGACGGAATCCTGCATACAAGCTGGAACGGAATCTTTAAGTCAACGGAATCTCGATTTCGCTCCAAGAAGAAGAAGAAGTCAATCCAAGCAAAAGATCGCAAGTCGCTCGAAACTCGCAAAGTCCTGGGAACGAAGTCCACGAACGGCAAAGACAAACTCGCTCAGATCATAAACAAGATAACAAAACACAACAAGAAACCAGTAACCACAAAAAATTCTTAAAACTAAAATGAAACATATAAAATTTGTTTTTGCTATGCCTACAGCAGGATCGCGCTGTAGGCTGGGTGCCACCACCAAGGCAGTTGCTCAACGCAAGCGTGGGTGGATGCCGGTGGGCTGATTCTTTTGTCGTGCTTGAACTTGTTGATGATCTGGTGACCGTAAGCCACCCGTAGGTGGCATAGATGCGGTCGACCGCAGCCTCCAATCAAAGCCCTTGGCCATCAACCGAATACACAGCCCACACATGCTTGCGGCGCAGAACTTGTCCTTGACGCGGCCGCGCTCACGAGCAGTAAACTCGCAATGCCGCCTTGTTGCCATTCAGGCCCTTGATCCACTCGTCCCACAGCTCGTAGAGGTTGAAAGGCTTCTTCGAAAGCTGGGCGGCAGGGTAGGGTGTAGGGGCCCTTGCGGCAGGAGGACGGGCCAAACGCCCAGGACCCGGTGGTGGTGGTGGGGAAGTCCTCCGCCCGCTGCAGCAGCACCACCGCCGCCGGCTCCACCACCAACGCCCGCTGCAGCAGCACCACCACCAACGCCGCCGCACAGGAAGCGGAAGCCTTGGAGCACCGCCACCCCTCGCGATCAACTGAAGTGGTTGATCCTCCCAATGTTCTTGTTACGATGGCCATGTTGGTCGAAACATAGCCCCTCAAGGAGCTGATGTCCTGTGCAAGAATCTGCTGGGCCTCCTCGATTGCCTGCTGAGTCCTGTGTTGAAGAGCAAGCAATTGGTTGAGCTGTTCCATGTGACACCACCAGGAGCACCTCCAACCAAGGCTCAGCACCAGCTTGGACCTGGGCGGTGGGAGCCAACTCAGTAATGTGCAATGCATTGGCTACCTTGTAGATTGTCAGAGGAATCTTGGCCACAGGGTTGTAGTCGGCCCCAGGATCCTCATCCAAAGTGGTTCGAAGCTGGGCATACTCAGTCTGGATGCGGTTGCGAATGTCTGCGGCATCATATGCTCCAAGCCAGGCTCCATCGCGGCCCAAAGCAAGGCAGGACCAAGTACCATCGGAAGGTTGTTGGATGGGTCGTCGGCAAAGAAGTCACAAATGGAAGGACAGACATGCTCGCCAATGAACCCATGATCCACACCGCTGTCAATCTTGATCGAGTACTTGACGGGGCCTCCAACAGCGAGAGTTCCCGCAACCTTGGCGTCGGTCGGCAACTGTTCCAGTCCAATGTAGACATGAACAATATGGCCGTTCTTCTCGCCCTTCCAGCGACCACGAGCCTCATTCTCGGCCTGGGTGATGCCACACTCGGCTGCATAGGTTGGAGGCAGCTTTCGAAGGCTGTGGGTACCGAGGCTTCCCTGGACTTGCTTGGCCAGCTCCACAAACTCCGGGTCTTTCCAAGCCTTCTTCAAGACGCGTTGGTACCAGGCGTTGACTCGATCTGGCTCCGTCTCGATGTTGGCCTCATCGAGCTCTTCGTCGTTGTCCAGAGCCTCGATGGCGGCAAGGAACGCTTCTTCATCGTCGACACGGTAATGGCCAAACAGAAACTTGGGATCACCGTGTCCCCTCTCAAGTCTTGTCTCGATCCAAATAGCCATGGCAATCAGGACGCAAAAGTCAGGGTCAGCGGCACCCAGCAAAATTTGGTCAGGACAATCGCTGTTGGAGGTTGTATTACAGACACCTCAATACAAATTAGTCGTTTATCCCAATCTAGTTGATAGGGGATATCTATATCTATTCTCTAGTTACATACATGGGGAGTTTAACTGATCTATATGGTCACCCCCTTCACTATATCCTTTGAAGTTGAATCAATCCCAGAAAACATGGAGAAAGATCACTTCTTGGAAATAGCTTAACAGTAAAACAGTATTTTACCTTTACTAAGCTAGAGTGTTACTAGAAACCAACACTATTTCCAAGAAGGTCTATCATCTCTCGAAGTTCATCTCGAATTCGAGATCACCAACATGGTGATACCGATGTTGACGTCCTATTACATGATATCCAAGTCTATGCCAAGGTAAACAGTTCAACGAACAGTTCAGGCAGACAGTGCTATAGCCCCACTATAAGGACTACCAAAACAGCTCAACAGGCGAAATTCATCAATAACGAATTCCCATTAAGCTACAAGCTACACGGAGCGATCGGTCCATCACCACATGAGACGACCCAATCAGAACAAAGTAAGCATACCTCATGAAAGAACATTACTAACTACACCACTCTATTGCTTGAACGAAGCAAATCAAACAGAAACTGATTGAGTTACGTCCAATTGAAGATCTGCAGGCAAGCACGAAGCCAAGCGTCCAAGAGTGAGCTCCGGAGTGAGGAAACGAAGGACACAAGAGCCTCCAGCTAGCTCCGGAACGACAAGCTCACAGAAGTGAGCGAACGGAGCAAGGATCCAAAGCAAGCTCACAGGAGTGTGAGCAAGAAACAAAAAGACTTTGAGCTGCGCAACACAGCCATCGTATGACTGGAGATACACTATCCCAGTACTGATACGGAAAACAACTACTAAACGAAGAAGACTCACAGGAGTGGGAGCCAAGCTAGCTAGCTAGCTAGCTACCACGACGAGTCCAACAAGCGCAGCAAGGCTACTACGGAGACGAACCGTGTTAGCCAACAAGAGTTGCCACGAAGAGGAACTGGATAACAAGCTCCAACAGGAAGAACCACAGAGGTACTTCCGTGGGAGTACTCCTATCCTCAACAAGAGAGCCATCGAGTTGGCTACTAGAAGAGAGGTGCGACGGAACAGAAAATTCCAACGCACAATAACAAGACGAATTACCAGGCCGATCACTCGGCAACCACAGGTCCTACAAGAGGACTGTCATACACAGAAGTGGGCTACTATACAGTCACTGACAGGCCCTCAAGAGTGCAAGCACTCGCATCGACCTCAGAGCGAGTTGCATCCATCGGCAACAGGCTGGATAAGAGCAAATTTGCGAGCGAATTCCGCCAGCAAACAAGAAGTCAGTCAACGATCAAGTGATCGAACGAAACCGCTGCAGCTGCTACTGCTACGGCGACAACAAGAAGAGCAGCCAATAGTCAGCGAGCGATCGAACGACCGAAGCTACTACTGGTACTATTAGCAAGTCGCTACAGCGACAAGAACAAGAAGCAACAAGGCGACCGAAGCGATCGAACGACCGCTACTACTGCCACAAGAAGCAACGAACGAGTGACTACCGCTACTATCAAGAACAACGAAAGGATCGACAGCGCCATTGTGGATCGGCAACAAGAAGAAGAAGAGTGTCGGCAACTGCATGCTGTCGGCAGAAGAAGCCATTACCTGGTACTTTTTGTGAGGAAATCGCTGACAACAACCAGTTCCACGGAACGACAAAGAACAAGCCAAGCTGTTCACCGAACGGCAGCCACAAGCCACTGAACGTCACAGCCAGGCGAAAAAGGTATCTTTCGAGGATATCTTCCGGCACGGAGCCAGCTCTCCGTACGTCGGCAACAAGAGGAAACTACGGCGACCCAAGCCATGTCTCCGTACCAAAGACAGTGCCAGCTACCCACCGGTACAGGAGCTACCGGAGCATGTCCTGCACCAGATAGCTAGCTAGCTACCGGTACAGAGCGAAGCGCATCCAGTGCAAGCCACTGGAGCAGTGCAAGCAGAACAAAGCTACAGGAAACACAGGAGTGCATCCACCGGCATTGAATATTTTCTTTGGAGTGTGTATTGAGTTTACTCAACACCTCCTACCCCATTCATGGAGTGTGTATTGTGGCATCCCAGCCACAGCACCTCCTACTACCTTTTATGGAATGTGTATTGTGCAACTGAACCACAGCACTTCCTCCACTGATTACAGGCAACCTGAGGCAACACCCGCCTCTAGGTAGGCAACAACAGATACCATTACAAGACCATGCCCTTGCTATTTGATCACAGCAAGTGCACAGGAGTGTGAGGGTACCCAAATCCAAAACCTACAATCCTACAAACAAAATCATCATAACATCCGCCTTTATAGGCAATGCCGTAACCACCAATGGCCACAACTACACGGCCAACAACCATCAATGGCTACAACAACAGTCAACATCAATGGCTACAACAGCCAACAACGGTATCTTCCACTACCAAACCGATTACAATGAATCGACCAAACCAAATTCAAATTGCATCTACAATAACGGCAACTGCAACAACAGCAGAACGACAGTGAACGTTGAACCGAGTAGCTAGCTATAAGCAAGCCACTCAAGAGTTCACAAGACAAGGAACCAAGCCACAGGATGGCTGGAGCATTCAGAGTTTGACCCACAAGTGGGAACCTGATCAACAGAAACAACAAGAGGGTGCACACCTCAGCTCCACTGCAACTACTGTACAGAGATTGCAACCAACCTTAGTCTCACACCAACAGAAGTACGTGAGTACATCAAATCAAGCCAACCATAGATACAACTACGGACAACTACAAGTTCAGTCACAGCCAACTCACAGGAGTGTAAGAGCAGTGACAGAACCAACACTTGTCCTGCCACAGCCATCTCACAGGAGTGTAAGAGCAGTGGCATCACCACCAAAGGATCTACCGACTACATCACCATCGAACCACCATCGACCGTGACATGTCCAGGTCCAGTGGAGCCCATCAAGTTGGAGCATCCACAACTACTACCGAATACTTCCTTACAAGTATCCAAACTTCCAAGGGCTTCCAGCCCCAACTCAAAGCATCATTGTGGCAAGGAACTTCCTCCTAGTTCCGGCTACTACAACAGTTCTCCCAAGTGTCGCTATAGCCTGACTTCCCAGTCTCAGCTACGGCAACACCAAATGACGGTACCAAGTGTACCAAGTGACGGCACCAGTCACCACAAGTGACGACACCAGCAGTCACGAGTCTCACATGAGTATAAACAACCATGACAAGAGGAAACAATAACTCAACCATTTCCTCATTCCATCTTCAGACATCGAGA